AAAAAAAAAAAAAAAAAACCAAAAAACAAAACACCCTCTTTATTTTTATATGACTTTCTGGGCCACCCTGTGATGTGGGGGAATGGAAGGCAGTTGGCAGAGAGGGCTCTGAAAGCTTTCAGTTGTGGCAATTCCTGGCCTGCTCCCAGGGGAATGCTTTAGGAGCAGGCCATGGAGGAGGCTGCTGATTTCTGCTTTGTAATGGGCCTTAATTCCTCCTGGAGGTGCCTTTTCATTTGGGGACAGGCTTGTCCTGGCCCTACAGCTCCCTGGGGTTTGGCTTTGCTGCTTCTTATCCCAAGGGCAGCCTCCTCTGCTGCCTGGGCCACTTCCCTTCAATTTAGGGAAATTTTCAGGCCAGTTTTGGGCTGCAGGAGCTCTGAGTGCACGGGGAGGTGTTTATTTGGGGTGATGATGCACTAATTGTGTGTCTCAGTGTCTCAGTGCTCTCCCCACACCTCACCCTGCTGCAGAATCCCGGGATGGGTTGAGTGGGAAGGACCTCAAAGCCCATCTCATCCCCAGGGTGCTCCAGCCTGGATTTGGGCACTTGCAGGGCTGGGACATCCCCAGGGAGTGATGATGGGAGCAGGACACGGCTCCCCACATCCCAGAGCCACATGGAATGAGCCCTGCAGGACCAGCATTCCCGTGGCTGGGCAATTCCTGCCGGGATCAGGGAGCTCTGGGCCCCCCTGCCCTGCACGTGCACAGCGAGTGCTGGGCCAGAAGCAGCACTGTAAACACACCCATCTGCAAGCTCTGGCTTCTCCCCTTCCTTTCCTGGATGTTTTCTACTCCCATTAATATGTTTGGCTCTTTTGCAAGGCCTCTTTTTTGGCACATGGGGAGGAGGAGGAGGAAGAAACCCCTGCTGGCTTTCCTTGCCAGGCAGGGTTTCCCAAATTTCCAAGTGCAAGGCGTAGCAAGAAGAGCTTTTTTTTTAATTATTATTATTTTTTTCCCCCTTGGTGTATAAACATTTTCTTTTCATTGGTGGTTTTTCACAGCTTTGGCTGCTGCTCCTAAACTCCCTGTCCTTGTTGAACACGTTTCGTTTGGGGAGGCTCTGGCAGGGGGTGTTTTCCAGCAGACCTCTCACAAAGGAACCAGCTCTTCATGTGGAAACAAATGTGCCAGAATGGCTCTTCATGGAACCCTGGAGTCTCCTGAGCTGGGAGGGACCCCCAAGGATCCTCCAGCCCAACCCCTGGCCCTACCCAGGACACCCCAACAATCCCCCCCTGTTCCTCAGAGCGTTGTCCAAACGCTCCTGGAGCTCTGGCAGCCTTGGGATTATTTCTTTTTCAATCTGTGGCATTTTGTGTTTCTCTCTCAAACACGTTTATCCACATTTATTAACCCCTTTGTGGGGTTCTGGGCAGGTTTCTGTGTTTCCACGTGACTTTTTGTTCCAGGAGCCAAAACCCCCTCACTGGATTTTCTAACCTGGAAAGAAAGAACCGACTCCTCCCTTGGGGGTGAAGTGCTGGGCTTAGGACAGGACAAACATTTCTCAGGTGTCACTGTTTTATGGCACTCCAGGGAATTTACAGCTGGAAGAGGAACAGGTTGTGGACTCGCCATCCCTGGAAGTGTCCCAGGCCGGGTTGGAGCAACCTGGACTAGTGGGAGGTGTTCCATGGCAGGGAGTAGAACTCAGGAGCTTTTTAAGATCCTTCCCAACCCAACCCATTCCATGATTCTAAAACATATTTTGCATTTTTTACTGTAGTATTTTAATTGCAGGGGGAGAAGTAACGGGCTTGTTGAATGTTTTTAAGTGTAACTGCCCAGGCTGCAGGTGAAGCTGAGGGGCTCTTTGGGTCCCTGAGCAAGAGGAAGGTGTTTGTTGGTTTGTTGTTGTCACTGTCCCTGTGACACGGGTGGGGGTGGTGTGTTCCTGGCTCCCTGTTCACTCACCTGACCTTTCCCTTGCAGTGTTATTTTTGTGAATAACTTTGCCTTCGGCCCCGAGGTGGATCACCAGCTGAAGGAGCGATTTGCCAACATGAAGGAAGGTAAATCCCTCGTGGGAGTGTTTTCCTCTGGGATCCCTGTGGGAGCTGGGCTGGTTGAGGGGCTGTTCTGTGCCCTGGGGCCAAGTGTCTGCAGCACAGGGGTTATTTCTTGGGCTTTCTGCTTCCCACCCTAACACCTCTCTGGCTCCTTGGGGTAGGAAGACTGAGGAGCAGAGCTGGGCTGGGAGGAGCTGCTGGTCCTTCCTTACCTCCCATGGGAACCTGGAACATGCAACAGCCAAGGCCAGAATTCCTGGATCCCTGGGAGTGTCCAAGGCCAGGTTGGACGGGGCTTGGAGCACCCTGGGCTGGTGGAAGGTGTCCCTGTCCATGCCAGGGGGTAGGACTGGATGGGATTTAAAGTCCCTTCCCACCCAACCCATTGCGTGATTCCTGGCTGCAGAGGCCCTGGATAACCAAGCTCTGTAATTCCATGGGAAATTCATTTACTGGGTTCTCCTATTTGAAGCTGTCACATTTAGTACTTGGTGTTAACTAATAAATAATGAAATAGGATTTACAGGCTGATAAAATGTGGGTGTTGCCCAGGGAAGGGAACAGAGCTTGGGAAGGGGCTGGAGCAGCTGAGGGAGCTGGGGGGGCTCATCCTGGAGAAAAGGAGGCTCAGGGGGGACCTTCTGGCTCTGCAACTCCCTGACAGGAGGGGGGAGCTGGGGAGTTCAGGCTCTGCTCCCAGGAACAGGGACAGGAGGAGAGGGAACAGCCCCAAGCTGTGCCAGGGGAGGTTTAGATTGGATATTGTGGAATATTTCCCCATGGGAAGGGTTGTAAAGCACTGGCACAGCTGCCCAGGGCAGTGGTGGAGTCACCATCCCTGGAGTGTTCAAACATCCTGGGTGCTCCTTCAGAAGTGCCACAGCAGACTGGGGACACCCCCTGACCCCACCGTGGCCCTGCCTTGGCCCGGGGTGTCTTTTCTCTTTGCTCTTCACCACTGCTGTAAGCAGCAGTTTTGTTTGGCTGGGGCAGAAATGCCAAAAATAACTATTTCTGGAAAGAAAAAAATGTGTGGTGTGAGCAAAGAATCTGTGGCTTCCCATGGCACAGCTTTGTGCTGAAATAAATAATGGGACTTTTGGGCTCTGGTGCAAACCATAAAACCCCCCAAATTAAGCTGTTTTCTTTAATTTTACTGGTTTCTTTTTTTGATTTTTTTGAACTTCTTGAGGGGTGGCTTGAAAGCAGTGGCAAGCTGGGGATGGTGCAAGCACTTTTTACTGTGGGGAAACATTATTTCTCTTCCCAGAACGTGCCCAGGCTCTGCCTTGGGCTGAATGACCCCAAATACCCATGAAATGGAAATTATGGCCTTTGAATAAAAGGCCTTTGGGGGTTTGTGTATAAAAGATCCCAACCAGGAAGGAGATAATTGAAATTTCTTCAGATTGCCACTGAGAATCCACGTGCTCTCTCTTTTCCAAGTGTGTTAAATCTGTCATTTTAAAGTGATCCTTGAGGTGTCACCTCAAAGACTGACTTTCTTGGAGACTGTCAGAATGAGAATTAGCTAATTTACTCTTTTTAATGATGTACAGGTGGTACTTTTATGGGGCTGCTCTTCAGGGCTCTGTACCAGGTTATATTTAATAAGTGGTTATTTCTAGAACAAACAGTGGGGCTGACTTTGCTTTTCTTTTTTTATTTTTTTTTTCTCTCTCCTTTTCTTTTTTCCAGGTGGGAGAATTGTGTCCTCAAAACCTTTTGCACCTCTAAATTTTAGAATTAACAGTCGAAACTTGAGTGGTATGGTTGTCCTTTCTATTGTTCGTTAACAGTGGGGGGGTTTTATTCATTATCTGAACGTGTCTGGGGTGGGATTTTGTTTCGTTATCTGGGGGTTTGTTGCTCTTGAGAGTTGTATAAATAAGTAGAAATAAATAAGTAGTTGAGTAAATAAGTGGGATTGTTGGGGCACAAGTGCCAAAGTGTCATGGATTTGAAACCAAACTATGTAAAAACCTCCCCCAGCACTGGAACAGACACTTCTGATGGGGTTTGTGCTGCTGGGTTTTGGTGTTTGGACCATCAGTGTGGCCCTGGCTGGGCAGCTGCAGAGAAATGAGGGGTTCAAGGGTGGGATTTGTTTCTTTGGCCACAAAGGAGCTGCAGGAGCTGTCAGGTTATGCTGTAGCTGATTAAACCTGGCCAGATGAACCCCACCAGTCGGGATTCCTGAGGCTTGGAGGTTCTGGAGCCAGGCTGGGAGAGCTGGGGGGGGGTCACCTGGAGAAGAGAAGGTTCCAGGGAGACCTGAGAGCCCCTTGCAGGGCCTAAAGGGGCTCCAGGAGAGCTGGAGAGGGACTGGGGACAAGGGATGGAGGGACAGGACACAGGGAATGGCTTCCCACTGCCAGAGGGCAGGGTGAGATGGGATATTGGGAAGGAATTGTTGGCTGTGAGGGTGGGGAGGGGCTGGGATGGAATTCCCAGAGCAGCTGTGGCTGCCCCATCCCTGGAGTGTCCAAGGCCAGGTTGGAGCACCCTGGGCCAGTGGAAGGTGTCCCTGCCCATGGCAGGGGGTGGGATGGGATGAACTTTAAGCTCCCTCCCACCCCAAACCATTCCATGAGAATTCCCTCCGGTGTTCACCTCTGAACTCCCCATGTGCAAGCTGAGCCAACAAAGCCCTCCCTGCCCTCCCCTCCCTGGGTCTGCTTTGCTGCCAACAGAGTTGTGACTCCAGCTTTGCCAGTGTTGTCCTTTGCAGGGACCTGACCTGCAGGTTTTTTTGGAGGGGTTAATGCCCCTCGGTGCTGGTTTTGCTTCTGAGCTGTTGGAAACTCCCATCGTTGAAATTGGGGTTGTTCTTTGCAGGGCTGGGAGTTGGACTTGGGGATCCCTGGGGGGGTCCCTTCCAGCTCAGCATATTCTATATCCATGAAATCTCTCAAGGAAAAGAAGGATCCAAGCTGGGCTTTACACATATTTACTGTGTCCAGTGCAGAACATTCCCTAAATTTACCCCCCTTATTCCCCTCTCTGTGCAATTGTGGTTTGTAACTACCCGAGTTCCAAATCTCAAGCTGTGCTTGCTCTTGGCCTGACACTCCCAAACTGCTTTTCAGGAACAGGAATTTATGGACTGTCATGAGGTAAACTGTGCCCTTGGGAGGCATTTTTTGAGGCTGGGGTTGTTGTGGATGTCCCACTCGTCACACCCCCAGACCTGCCCTTTGAAACCCTTTTTTGGGGGCATCTCTTGGTTTTTGGGCCTTATTAAGCATTGGCTTTGCCGGTCCTTTGGGCTGTGGATTCCTTGGGAATGTTTTCTACAACACTGAATTTTAGATGTTAATGCTTAAAGGGAATGCTGCTGTTAAAATTATATAGAAATAGGTGATTATAGAGGTGGCTCAGCAAAAGGATGGGTAACAACTCCCACTAGCAGGAAAATCCCAAGGATTCAGATAAAAGGACTTGGGGAAGAAATCACCTTTGTGTGCTGCAAACTGGGGAAAACTGTGGGAATAAATTTTAGGTCTTAATCCCGTCCTGTATTTGGGAAATGCCAATATCAAATGGAAATGTGCTGAGCCTGGGCCTTGTTCCATGGCCTGGCCTAAGTGACACTTCCAGGGACATGTCCCCAGCCATGGCCAGTGTCCTGCACTGGAGGGAATGTCACTGGTGTCCTGATCTTAAATAATTTACAAAATACAGTGGGGAAGAAAAGCTTTAAGAAACACCATTTCCCTCAGTCCCAGCTTTGTCCTCAGCAGCTCCATCTGGAAGAAGAAATAAAAATGTGCAAATAGTTGGACAAACAAAAACAGGCATTAAAGTGTGGTTAAAACTGGGGTTGAGGTTGCTGGATCCCAAACCTCGCTTTTGGCCTCTTCTGGGTAATTTCTGTTTAATTAGAAGCATTCCATGATTTCTCCACGGGCTCAGGGGTTGTGGGGATGTTTAGGGCACATCCCAAAGCTGTTAAATGTGGAGAGCAGAACAAACAGAGGCAGTGAAGCAAACACAAACCATGTTTGTCCTGGTTTCCAGGGGCTGGTGATGTCCTAGGGCTGGGTCTGTCCCTCTCAGCCCTCCTGGCACACACGTGTTCCCCTGGAAAAGTTCTCCGAGCTCTCCTGCTTGCTGAAAGCTTGCACTGGGTTGTGATTTCAGACATAAAAGGTGGTTTTCTACATTGTGATGTGGCAAGAGAATAAGAAACTCTGTCTAAACTCACTGCAGGGCTTTTCTTTCGGGTGGGAAACTGTAAGATTTTCCTTCTGTGACCTGGTGGTTTCAGCTGAGCAGAACTGAGGCAGCTTTTCCCTTTCTTCCCACAGATATTGGCACTATAATGAGAGTTGTGGAGCTGTCACCCCTGAAGGGATCCGTGTCCTGGACAGGGAAACCAGTCTCCTACTACCTGCATACTATAGACAGAACCATAGTGAGTATGGGAATGCTTTTCACGGTGCTTTGGGGATTTACAGACCTGTAAGACACCTACAGGGAGTGGCTGTGCTTGGCCTGGCTGTGCAAACCACCCTGCAGGGCTTTGGCTGCTCCACATTTTCCCTTTGGGTATGGCCAGGGCTGGGAATTCACTGGAGATTCACAAATGGAATTCCTTCTGCAGCTCCTCACGGTCCTGTGCCAGAACTTCCTCGTGGAGTAAAATCTCTGTCTCTGGTTCCTCCCTGTGCTGCACAAACCATTCCATTTGGTCATGTCCAACCAGTAAATCCCAGTTTCAGGACCAGCCCAAGCTCCACAACAACACTGATGCATCCACTGTTGTTTGTTTTTTTTTTTAAATCAATTAAACAAAAAAACCGGTCTCTTACTACCTGCATGGTATAACTGAACCACAGTGAGCGTGGGCAGCCTGGAGCAGCATTCCAGCTGCCCTTGGGAATGGTTTTCATGTGCTTTGGGGATTTACAGAGCTGTGAGACACCCACAGGGAGTGGCTGTGCTTGGCCTGGCTGTGCAAACCACCCTGTTGCTCCACAGCCCCTCGTGGGTATGGCCAGGGCTGGGAATTCCCTGAAGAGTCACAGATAAAACCCCTTCAGAATCCTGATTTTGTTCTGTCAGTCCCTCACTGAGTGAAATCTCTGTCTCTGGTTCCTCCCTGTGCTGCACAAACCATTCCATTTGGTCATGCCCAACCAGTAAATCCCAGTTTTAGGACC